ATATCTATTCAAATCCAAGTTGAAAATTCATGAAACCATGAACAATCGAAATATATTATTAGCTTTTTGCTCGAATTGTTAATTTTATAAATAATATAAATATTTTGCATTTTTTTTTGTATGATAATTATTAATTACAATTAGCTACACAATAATTCAGAGTTGCTGATAATATAGAAATGTTAATAAATACTAAATTGAGAATCGGATTATCATGTATATATTTATAATACAATGTAATTTTTTTTTATAGAAACCGAACCAAAAGACGCATTAAATTGGGAAAATACTGTTAAAAGACTAAGTATGTTTATATAGTAATTGTTATGTTTAATATTTTATTTAAATATAAAATAAAAATAAATAAATAAAAGTTATCTAAAGTAATAAGTACTTGGAAAGTAACTAACTATCCAAAAAAACATTAAAACAACCTCGTTAATAAACAAATACAATAACGTGGCATATACAATATTCGCCATTCTGTCCTATTGTTATTACTAGGGCTAGGATTATAATGACCTAAAACTAAAAAATGACTCAATATAAAAAAATGACCTAATATAATTATATTAAAAAATATAAATATATTTATAAATTAATAAATAATAATTAATATTTATTAGTATACAAATAAATTCATCTTCTAGTATAATGACCAGCGTAATTTGTTCTGAAATTAATATATTTTGAGATACCTAAAATAATATTGTAAACTAAAATTATTATAGATACTTAATATTTGTATACTGAAAAATACCTTTTTAACTGTTGCAACTTTGATATCACACGCGTTACAATATAATACTAAACCATCGGTAGAAAAAATGTTAGCGCCAAATTCGGAAACATAAAGTCGCAAACGACTCGATTGAGAAGACTTTTGTTTAGGCGTATTATGTATTTTCGTAATTAATTATTTTATAAAAAGTAACTCACTCTCGAAAGACAAAACACTAACTAAATAAGTAAAAACCAATATCATACGTATAATGAATAGGTATTGGCACGTTAAATTTAATAATAAATTGATGAAGATAACACGTAATCGAACATTATTATCGATTATTGCTCTGTTAATCTAACATTCTAACGAGTGTATATTTAATATTATACATGTAAACGATTGATATATTGAAGTATTAAATATTTTTAGAAAATATATATATGATTTCATTTTAATATTATATCTTTATATGTTTGTACAACAATTTATAACGATCAATAACCACTATATAAAATTTAAAAAAATTAAAAATTAATAAAAATATAACCCAGATTTCAATATAGTATAAAAAAATGACCGTAAAATTGAAAACATGTTAAAAAATGACCCTAAGTTCAAAAAAGTACAAAAAATGCAAAAATATGCAAAATAAAAACTATATATTTGAACTTGTAGATGACCAAATCACATTTTGTGCTTGAAAAGCTATATCCTGTAAATCCTAAAAAAAATGCAAAATCCTATACCATCCTAGCCCTGGTTATTATCAATATCGAAGTCAACAATAACGACTCGCGTGATGATCTCGACGGGAGGAGGATTACCCACAGTACTAACAATATAAAATTTATTTATAATAATATGACGGATGCAATACGTCAGTCTTATATACGTATACTATACACTAATAAGAGAATAATTTAACAATAATAATTGGACCCCCTTGCAATTATTAATAATAATGATATGGTTATGCACAAAAATGAACATGTGATTTTTACACCAAATATAATATAAATAAATATAACAATAATAAAAATTAGACCTGATCTGCACTCAGTCTGACAGCGTTGTCTTCAATTGGAAAAGCGAAGGCGACAGCTGTTTCTTCTTTACTCTTTAGTATACAAATGCACGATTTTCAACAATACGCGTCAGGTCCCAATTGTCTTAGAACTTACGCCGTCGTAGGTATACACAGTATAGAAAATAACCAAAACTGTTGTAACGTTTCACGTTAACCACGACCAGTTAAACAAAAAGGAGGCGAACGGGTGATTCAGCAGAACCGCCAAGTTCGATCGTGGGCAAAAGACAAAAAATATAAAATATTGTAGGCCGACAGAACGGCTAGTAGCCACGTCTGCGACAGACAAATTAGCGCCGGACTCTAAAGGTTAGAGCTTTCTGGTACTTTATCCGCCACACTTGTAGTGTCCTGAGCAAAGCTTATTTGAAGGCAAACCGTACCGCGTTCGAAACATAAAATTGTTTTGTATAGTAATATGAATATTTTAGTTTTAAAATGTACAATTATAATAAACCAGAATAATTTAAATATATAAATATAGTATTAAATTTCAAGTTTTACAATCAATCTACAAAGCCAAATTTTTATTCTGGTATATTTTTCATGATAACAAAATTAATATTTATTTTGTGATACCTGTTTACACAGCCATTTTGTGTCTAATGTTATAATCTTAATCATTTAATTATAAAATACAATAGTCTTTTTCTAGTATTCCATATCTATTGCATCAGGAACCTTAATTCTTCACTATAATTTCTACTAAATTAAAATATAGGTACTAGCATTGTATTGTTTGCGATGACGATGAAGACTATAAAACTATTCACTCCGTAAAATTGCAATACGGATTAGATGTATTTTGTGATTGGTACACAAATAACTCCATGCAACTTAATATACCTAAGTACATTTATAATGATTTCATTTTCTCAAAAAAAAAAACCCCATTTTTGATTTTAATTATTATTTGTTCCGTTGTTCGATTTTAAAATTCAACGTGTTAATTTTATAAATGTTCTAAGTGTATTCTTTTATACGAAAATAAATTTCAAGAATCATAATAATGAATTTAAAGATAAAGCATTGTCAAAATTGGGTCTCATAAAACGAATTTATTCAAATTTTAAAAATAATTCCGCTATAAAAAAATCTATTTTTCTTTTGTACATTCTCAGTTGGAATATGTTATTCTTTTTTGTTCTCTTGCTTCGTTGATTTTAAATCAAACTTTTCATTTGATTCAAAATTATTTTTTACGTTTTTTATCCTTCTAATACAATATTGAACGACTTCCACATATTGGCGTTATGAAGGAATGTCTAGAAATTTTTATTTCTACTATATAGAAAGTAGCAGTTTTTTCTCTTTAAATTATTAAATATTACAATTTAATACCAAACAAAACCATAAATACTCTTTATAGCAAAATTAACTAAACAAGAACTATAAATGAATTAAATACTTTAAAAATTATAAGTACTAATTATTCTTTTTCCTATTTTGTAAATTCATTAACGGCTACTGCAATCGAGTAAAATAAAATTTATATTTTTTCAATATAATTATTATTAAGTTAGAATATTGCATATAATTATTTAATAATATACTCTAAACTTTAGAGTCTAGAGAGTGTTTCTTTATTTTTTCCTCTCTTTTAATACTATAATTATCAAAGTGTTTTAATATAAGTTATGATGTTTTATTTTAAAAGTATAAAAATTTCAATGTTCAATTTTTTATAACATTAAAGGTTAGGGGAATTATTAAGCCAAAAACTTGATTATTTAATTATATTTTAAAATTTATAATTTTATAAACTCTTCTAATACTGTGATTTGGTCTGTGATCCCAATAATATGTCAATTACTATATTCAACATATTATGAATATTACATTAAAATACTAGACATTATTTAAGTAGAATTTATTTCATAAATAAATAAAAAAAATAAAATAAAAATTAAGTAAAGGTGAGACGTACGACATACATAATATTCTTTTTTTGTAAAAACTAGAGAATAAAAATTAAGTCCCCCTCCTAAAAAAATAATAAATTCTGGTTACGGCACTGAACTAGTATACGATTGCATCAGTAAACAAAAAAATAATTCAACATATTTTTTCATGTTATTATATTATTTAATTTATGTAGATTCAGATAGTTACAGTGGTAAGTTATTATTTTTATTATTCTATAACCGTCATTATTATAATATTGTTTTTTGACTAATAAAATACTTATAATGAAAAGCATTAACAAATTATGTTTATCTACATTTATGTAAATAACTATTTAAATATAAAATATATCCTTAACGATGTAACATTTAATATTTACTTTAATCAATCGTTTACAGAACCAGTAAAAAGTTTCATACAAAATGCAAAAAGTGGTCTTGGTTGGTAATACTCTGTTGCATGTGCGTGCGCAGGGGGGTATTCATGGTATGCAGCTGCATACCCTCGACGAACACGAAGCTTCACACATACCAAAGATCATTTTTCAAATTAAAAATGTTATATTTAATTTATGTTTATAGTAATCTATTACATGAAATACATTCGTAATCGTATAGTAAATGTTTAATAATAATAGATGAAAGGTTAAATACTTTAATGCTTATAACTGTGGAACAAGAAATAGCAGTTTATTTAAATCCCGAAGACGTCATTGATGATTTCAAAAACTCTATCCAACGCAGAATGGTGTTATGATAAATTATAATTCTTATTATTTCCTCCCATTCCCCCTCTGTATATGCCATGGTGCCAGTGGCAGCCTTCTGCATACTTTGAAAAAGAGGCCTGCGCACGTTTATGTTCTATTGATTATAATCAGGGCTCGGGACTTTATGCACTTTAGATCATAAAAGTATGCTCATAAATATGCATAATAATGTATCAACATATGCGCTTAAATATGTGTTTATTTTTAATTTAAAAAAGACATACTTGTACAGATTCGAATTAAAAAAACAAAATGTAAAATGCGAAGTCATGCTTTATCGCGGACACTATTACAGAAAAAATTATAAGATACAATTAATTTAGAGTTAACAATATATATTTTATCTACATATTTGTTTTCTAAATAATATTTTTATAACGCGTCAAAAAGGAAAATTTTACAAGAAATTTTTAATTTTTTTATTTTTATAAATCAAATTAAAAAATAATTATTTTTATAAAATATGCAATAAAAACAAATGAATTTTTGCAATATGCATGTGAAGAAAAGAATCTAAAATATGCAAAAAAAATTTTTGATTTTTAAATCCTTCTATCAAAAAAAGTATCTATATCCCGAACAAATATGCAAATACATAAAATCCCGATCCCTAGTTATAGGTAATGCATAAATCTGACAAATAATATAAAACATATTCTATACATACACGTATAAAAACTTTAAATAATACAACTATGATATTATACTTCTATAATATTATTATTTTTATTATTAGTATCTGGACCAAGTCGTCATTGTCATTCTTACGCATTCCCAGAATGAGGTAAGGGTAATTTTTGTAATATTTTTTAAATGATCTTGTGTTATTTTCTTTTTTTTTATCATCGATATGTTTTGGATGGATACAATTAATTTTTTTTTTTTTACCAATTACACGTAACTGATTTCGTATACCGCTAAAAATTATTAAAATTTGTTGCTTTAGCAGTATATAGCAACAGAATATCCATCATATTTGGCTACCATCTAAATATTAATAATTTAAAATCTATACTCTTGGCCAAAAATTCATACAGTTTGTAAACCACTTGTGTCATCTTTTTAAAAGTTTAAAACGAAGTTTAGGAAGTAGTAATATATATGGGTTTTCAGAGCTCTTTTAATTATAATTTAACTGTAGTTAAGGAACTTTAGGTAAATTCAAATACTAAGTTGTATCATAATTTATAGTTGATATGTTTTTTGTTTCCCAAAGCCCAAACTTAATTATAATACACATTTAAACTTTTTTTTCGTAATTTTTAATTTATAATATATAAGTACGTTGTATATTATGAAAGACTTACGTGTAAAGCGTATTGTCGATACTCGGTAGGCTAAGAGAAATTAAACATGAGATTGTGCGTCTCTTATATTATAATAAATAATTGGTAACACGAGTAAGTAATGTACACGCGGATGACTTTTATATGTCTAGTAATAAGCATTATTCCTATACTTCTTTATTAACTACGAATGTATGTTTATAGTTTTAAGATGTCACACACCTAGAATGTACCATAAAGCTCCTACAGAGATGATGGTTTGTCTTATATGGTAATAAAAAGTATAATAACAAAAATAATACTCAGATATTATTTCACTAAAATTTCAGTGTATCGGTAAAGGACGAGTGACCAGCAATTATATAAAAGTATACTATAATTTTAAATGCATTGTCATGCTACAAATATATAATATAATGAACAGATGTGTAATGTTGTGCGTCTAAGCCATCATATTAAATAATTAAAATTAAATATTTATGTGCAATATAATAAAATAATTTAAAATAATTATGATAACATAAGTTATAACTGTTATAAGTCTTTAATATTAAATAAGATAAAATTATAAGAACAATAGATAGCACACGTATATATGCACACATATACAGGATATTAGTTATAAAAAGGCCGGTTACCGCCGGTCATAACATAGTGTCCTTACCATCTTTCTGTATAGTCGTATAGACGATCACAAGCGAGAGTAAAAGACTACGCGATCGGATATACTAGAAGACATAAGTGTTGAAGTTGTTAATAGTTAAAATTAAATAATTTATGTATTAAAAAAATTGTAATAAAGTTAATAAGTTTACTTAAATAAAGAAATTATCGTAATTTTTTTAATGTACACTGGTTACCTTAGAACCTACTCAAAACATCAATAGATAAAAGTCGCTGTCAGAAAGAAGAATGGTAATTTACTGATCTGTGATTAATTTATAGGCTTATAATCGAACCCCGATATATATAAATATTATATCTTTTAAAATTATTACAGATGTATAAAAAACAATATAAATAATAATAGACTACTAAGATGGGCACCCAATTAAGAAAATAATGTAATAATAACCAATGTGAAATACGTATACACAATTTATTAATATTAAATTATATTGTTTAGTGTGATTGTTATCACAGATATCATATAATGTAAATAACGATACCGTTGTTATAGTAATAGCGTATTGCGATCGATTAGGAATATGAATAAGCTAACTGAAGATCCTTCGGTGAATCTCGAAATGCATCAACGATTCATTGCGTGCTGAGATTCGCTCCACAAATATACCGAATTATTTGAAAATCATCTAGACGAAATTCTGTCCGCTCTCGTGGAATTAGACACTGTTTGTGATTTTGATCGCGTTGATACAATTGTCGCGGATGATATGAACAACTTATGTGGCAATATTAAAACAGTTTTAGCTATTTTATAGTCGTCTCTAATTAAATCTAACGATATACATACGGATGGACATTCATTTCATACGGTTCAATCCATAACCATAAGCTTGCTTAGCGAAAGTCGAATTACCCAAATTTGACGACAGTGCTGTACAATGGTGTGCATTTCATGATACGTTTGTGTCATTTGTACACACATATAACGTTCTTACAGATATAGAACGCTCCCATTATTTAATTTCAGCGTTATCAGGTCCTCCGCTAATGATTGTAAAATCGGTTCCGTTAACGGCTGAAAATTATATCATTGCGTGGCGTGCTCTAAACGATCAGTACGATAATAAACGACATCTCATTGCTTGGCATTTAGTTAAATTATTTTCATTGGAGCGTATTCAACGTGAATCGATCCCGGCACGAATGTCGTTGATTAATACGTTTCGCGAGAACGTCACTGCAATTAAAGCATTGGGCGTTGACGATTTACTGGGCTTTTTACTGTTTCTAGATCGGTGCACGGGTGTCTTAGATTTGAGAAATATATAGCGACAGACGAAACACCTAAGTTAGATAAGTTAGGTTAGGGTTGCCGTGTTTCGAGTCGAATCGAGGTAGTCGGTCTTGCCCAGCAGTGGGTTAAAACAATTAAGGGCTCGACGTCGTGTGATTTTATTCTGTTGAAATTCAATGAACCTAGTTTTACGGCAAACAATATCATTAGGTATTCTTAACAATATTACTGCACCGATGACTCATGAAAAATTACCAAATAGTGTGCGTGAACGATATGGTCACTTACAATTGGCAGACCCTGAATTTGATACATCAGATACTAATGATATGCTCATAGTTAGAGATCCATATCTATTGGTGTTGTGTACTAGGTCGGATATCGTCAATAGCCCTGGATTACCATCAGCGATCAGCACCCAATTGAAATGGATGAAATGAGCATTGAAGGATTCGGTTACGTGGTCAGTAATGTCATTAGCCGTTAATACAACATCAGCTATAGATGAAATTATATAATAATTTTGGGCAGTCGAAAAACCTCGTGAATTAGTCATTTCAATTACGGAGGATGTAATGCTTGATAGATGGTTTAAAAAGATAATGTCACGTGACACTACGGGCAGATTTCAAGTCGCGTTACCATTTAAAACA